CCACCTCTGGATTACACAAGAGTCTTCAGTCTCCACATCCAAAAAATTAGAAACAGTCTGCAGAGTAGGTAGATTTCGGGAAATTCTAACACAGCTCCTTGCAAACTCTTCATGAACTTTCCTACTGTGTACTTGACACATGGATTTTCAAACTACAAAAAAATGAGTTTCAAATGGATGAAAAATGCATGAATTTATTTCTAGATTATTAAGTGAAAAAGTGGTGTGCACAGGTAATTAATTAGCAAAGGACCCTTTCACATTCTCCGATGGTAAAAGCGTTTGAGCACTCGTTTACTGGGCTGCATGATTTGTAGTGTGTTCTGCCGTAAGCTCACTTTGTACACAAAACTGAGGAATTTATTTCAGCCAAATCGCCAATGGAAAGAGAATTGAGGAAATAAGTCACAAAGGCAATGTTAATAAGGGGCAGAAATTCAAGCTCTGATAGCACATTTTGTACCTGGATACAGCAGAGAACTTTCCAATTAGAGCCGGCAAGTAGAAAGCTGATAACTCCCAGCTGAGATTTACAGGGAGCGGTCAGCAGCCTGTAATGAGAATTTGGAGCACATACATCGGCTGTAACACCTTTAGTATAAGTATAGTTTCTAATGGCAAAAGCTAATGGCTCCATGACAATAATAAGTAAGAGTGAAAGAATATTCCAGCCTGAGGCCTCAGAAAAGAACTCTTGGTGGCATTGATAAGATTTTCACTAACACTCGACGAAGGAGTAGTCCTAAAGTGCATCAGCTGCCCCGAAGTAAGGGAATCACAACAGGCAAGGAACAACCTTGCGGTTGAATTCCACCCTTTCCTCAATGGGATTCACACTTAGGCATGTCCTTACGGGGCGGGGGGGGGGGGGAAGGAAGGAGAGAAGGAATGGGAGGAAAGGAAGGAAACCCCTGCTCACAGTCCCATCACTCACTGTACATCATTCAGTAACATTTAAAAGTAAGTAACACTTAAAAGCATTGGAATTCACTTTTTTGTGTGTGCACCTCCCAGGATAATCTCGGAGCACTCGCAATGTGTACCGTGTGTATGGTGACACCTGGAGCCGTGCCCCGCACAATCTACAAGGTCATTTACAGGCAGCCTTGAAGCCGTTATTTAAGAGCACGGACTCAGAGCTGGCAGATCTGGAATCAAGTGATCCTAACCATGTGACTGTGGGCAAGTTAACGAACCTGCTTAAGTTTAGTTTCCAACTCTATAAAATGGGGATCATAATATTAACCTCCACCAAGGATTACTCAGCAATCAATGCAAAAAAACACATAGGACACTGCCTGGCAGATGTTAGTGAGCTGTAAAATCCAACTGTTTAATTTGTTATTATGACCACATACCAACTTCTGTACTAAATGCCGCAAAAGTAAATGGAGCAAAAATATATGGAGCTACATGCTGTTGAAGCTTATTGACTGTGAGACACAGGAATTTTAGAGCTTAAACTCTACTGCTAAACATCAATCAACCATATCACCGGTATTTAACCTTTACCATGAAAATGGACTGCATACAACATGACGTGCCTTTGTCATCTCATACTAGGCGTGTCTGAGGTCTCATACTCAAATGTATCTGCAAACTTCGTGGCAACCACAGCACACAAATTGCACGTCTCCAAGTGCTATAGCTTCCCTAAAGCCCAAGAAAATAGAATAAAGCAGGGTAGGAGCAGGGTAGAGTAGAACCGCTAACAGCAAATACAAACAGCACACTGAAGTATTAACCAAGAAGAGAGCCTAATTTCATAAAAAAAAATATATATACACACATACATACACATACATACATATATGTATGTGTATATAAGTATAAATATATATTATATATATTACAATCACATTGTAGTTTTTTTTGAGCATTTGCAACAAGCAAGACATCCCTGGAAATCCTGTCATATCCACCCTAAGACTGGCAGCAGAATTATTACTCTTCAGCGTAGCCAAGGTCAAGGATTCGGTATATTACGAACAGCAGCAGCCATCCCTTACTTTTAGGTAACTTTCATACAAACCCTTCCTCTTCCTGATGCCACTGCCTACCAGCCCATTAACCACAGTAGTTTCTTTCCACAGCTCTCCCTCCAAGTCTTACTTCCCAGGTGTGTCTCAGCCCAAATTACACTGCCCAGATGACACCTGTATTTGGTTGCTACCTTTCAGATGAATCCCATCACACTGCTGCTGGTTCCTCTTGGCATTTTACAACTGAAAGAGAAATATACTGAGTTATTCCAGTGAGACTGCAGTGGCTCTTAACCTGGGCTCTTGTGTTTTCCAGGGGATGTCTGGCACTATCTGGAGACTTGTTTGGCTGTCACAGCTGGGAGGGTGCTACTGGCGTCCAGTGGGCGGAGGCATTGCCAGAGTGTGGCGGGCAAGGGAGGTGCCTAGGGCTCAAAATTTAAGGAGGCACTCACTCACTTTTAGGGTCGTCCAGATGCAAGATTAAAGGTTGCATGGCCCCGGGAGTGAGTGCCTCCTTAAATGCCATTGCTTCCCTGCCTCCCTTGCCTCCCAGCCCTGGGTTGAGGCCAGGGTTGCCTCCAAACACCCTCAAAAGAAAGGAATTATCCAGTCCCAGATACTGAGGCTGAGAAACCCAGATTGGTTTAAAGAAAATCAGGGTTAGAAATTTGATTCCCTCTATTTTCCACTTAGAGTTACAAATTTAAAATCATATGTTGTTAAGTAGCTCTAATAGTGAAATCATAGCAAATTCCACCATTTAGCTTGAATCCATTCTGCTCCCATCCACGTGGCCTATAGTGAAGCTAAATTAACTTGACCCTGTCCTTCCTGGCCCTTGAACTTAGGCCCCTTTGTAACTAGTCTCCCCTCTGCTGGCAAATCTTTCACTCACCCCGTGTACCTCTAAGGCCCAGATGCGAAGGCATCTTCCATCGAAATGTGGCTCCTCCCTTCTTAGATTTGCCTCCTCTCCTGTGTATCTCTCTGTGCCCTGTATTACACTAGAGTCACTTATGTGCTTTCTAAATGCTCCCCGTCCCTGCCCCTCCCCACACACACTTATTTAACCTCCTTATGGTCACGGACCAGGTTTTCTTTATATTTACTTTCCCAACAATCTTTATGTAGAGCAGTGCTTTGAACACGGAACGTACTCAACGTATGTTTTAAATGGATCCATGAGGCAGGTGCACACAGTAACGCACAGCAGCATGATCCGCAGCACGCATTGGCGGCTACCTGAATCTAAATCCGCCATCACGTTGTGAGGCCTTCTTGAACCCAGTGCCGATTTTCTTTCCCTCAGAGATGTCTCCGTTTATTTCAAGTTTGTTATCCCAGAATTCCTGAGGTTTGTGTTCAGGAGGTAACTTCCTTGACATTTTGCTACAAACAAAGGTACACAATGAAATGTATTTTCTTCCCAAAGGCCTATTTGAGCAGCAGCAAAGAGCTCACGAGTTTGCCTGAGCCACGCACCAAAACTCAGGAAGTGAAGAAACAGCCTCGTAGCAGGTCAAACTCTTCGGGAAGCCAAACTGATGCAGCGTGAAAATGCCATTTCCATCAGTATCTGCCTCACCTTCAGCCTTAAAACTAGTCCGGAACTTTCCTAATTTTGCATTTTAACCAAAAATAAGCTAAGACTACTTAAGTAATCAATACCTCACTACTAACATCTCCTATTGAAAAAAATACAATACATATACAATTAAATTTTTCAGCTATTTGTCCTTGAAACAAGGGTAATATATTTTATGTTTCTAAATATGTGACTTGACAAAAAGGAAACTGAAGGCCTTCCCCCATGGATACCAAGAATCCACTGATTTTAATCATTTTATCCTTTTATCACAAAATCAGCTTAACCTTTAGCACCTGGAAAGACACAATTCTAATCTGACAAGTTTATTATGAAACAGTTATTGTGAAAAAATAACTCTATTGAAGATTAAATGCATGTATATTCCATCAACATGGTAACTTCCAAAACCTGAGGTCACAGCTACTATGTTAGGTTTTCTCACAGCGCTACTTGACTCCATGCTAAGTAAGAACGCTTTTCACTGTTTGGTCCACAGTCTTTGGTTGGGAGGAAGGAGCTGACTTGTCTGGAATGCACAGTACAAGCCAGCTCCATGTACGTTGCCTTTGACACCTGTAACAATCCTGCTAAGACAGGTTTTACCACCCACCTTTTGCAGATGAGGAAACAGCTCCAAAGAGGTTTAGCAAAGTGCCAATTTTCCTAACACCAGTAAACAGTGCTCCTTAAGTATTATCTTCCAATATGGCGGACTACCACTACCTGAAGAATATTCTGGATTACATTTTAACCTACAAAAGGCAGAAAATCTGCACATATTTCGAGTGTTCCACCAGTGAACCAATCTATGCCACTGGATGTGAAGCATAATAATGTTCCAGGTCAAGCAAGGACCGTGAGCGTCCCCAGGAGGAAAGGCACCCCCTCAAAGGAAAGTGGCCACAGCAGGAGGCCATCGGCCTGCTGGGTGCTCAGTGATGTATGAAAAGAGCAAGAAGGGAGGGTCCGGAGGAAGCACGATTCCCACAGAGTCCACCCAGCTCCCCACTCCTTTGTTCCTTGTTTCAACAATCGACGATTGTTGCACACAGTGGGCCCACTATGGACAAGGCACTTCAGGGACTCTTGTATTGCACAGAAACGTGTAAACATGTTTTTCTTCAAAAAGCTTACATGCAATGCATAAGACGTTAAAAAGCAGGATAATATAAAGTGAGTTTCAAAAGCATTATTCAATCAGTGAGTGCTATAAAAATTCGAAAGGGAAGACAGATTATTCTAACTGAGGTCTTCAGGATGGACCGCATTAAAACGGGCGGAATTTGAGCTTCCCTTGAAGGACAGGCTAAAATATTGATAGGTTCAGGCTGTCAAAGAAAAAAATATTAAACTGCGAGATCAAAAGTTTGGGTACCAAAAGGCATATAGCATTATTTGGGGAATGAAAGTAAAATGTGAAGTTTAAGAAATTCTACATAGACACACATTCTTAAATGCTTGGAAGCAGAAGGTTTTTATAACAACAACTTAGGAATACCATCAACTACTTCCATTTTAAAGTTGCTTGTAAAAATGAATATGTTTTCTTTCATTTTATTACTTATGAGTAGATAAATTTTGTAGTTTAATATATAATATGTACATTGGTCATGATATAATATTTTAACTTTCGGAAGAGCGTATCATTTTAATAGGCATGTAGCTTCTGGATAAAAGTTTGATTATCATTTGGGAAATATGAGTTCTCCAAGTATTGTTTTATCTTTGTATAATGCAGAAATGGAGACAAGAAGGGGTTCAAGAAGGCCTCATAACATGGTGGCAGTTAGATGAAAAATGCTATGGATTGAATGTTTGTGTTCCCCCCAAATTCACATGTGTAAGGTCTAATCCCCAAATGATGATATTAGGAAGTGGGACCTTTGGGAGGTAATTAGGTTCAGCTGAGGTGATGGGTGAGGTGGTCCTCATGATGGGATTAGTGCCCTTACAAGAAGAGACCAGAAAGGTCTATTTCATCCCCCTCCGCAGCTCCCGCTCCCAATCTCCACCACGCACCTGTGTGCACCATGTGAGAGCACAGAAAGATGGCCGTCTGCAAGCCAGGAGCAGGGCTCTTACCAGAAACCAAGTTAGCCAGCACCTGATCTTGGACTTCCCAGTCTCCAGATTCTTAAGAAATAATTGTCTGTGGTTTGTTACCGATTTAAGGTATTTTATGGTAAGAGCCCAAGCTGACTAAGACAGAGAAATGGTAAACAGACCAGCTAACAAACAACTTGACCTCCAAGTCATATAAAGGAAGACAGAAAAAAGTCTTTCGAGAATCGATGTAGTCTTGGAAAATTATTTTGATCTCTAATCTAAGGATGGAAAATTTTAATCTGAATGCTGGGTGGGACACAATTAATTGATTCATTTATTTATTCTGTGATTATTTATTGAAGACCCACCACATGGTAGGCCCTAAAAGCTAGGTGCTAGGTTAAAATACACATAGACACACAAAGAATATGATGTGTTTTTTCCTTCACTACAGAGTAGAGGAGACAGATATATAAGCATATAATTGCAGTCAAATGTGCTGAAAGCTCCAGGGTAGATCAAGTTCCCATGAAAACAATAAATGCTTCTCCCATGGGCCTCGGGCATGACTTCACAGAGGAAATGACAACTGAACTGAGTCCTGAGAGACACGCAGTTAGAGGAGGAGGTCTGATAAATCATTTCGGATACAAAGAGCAGAGGCGTCAAAGACAGATTCCTGAGCGAGGAGATGACGGCCTGAATCACTGGGTGCATGATCAGAGGGGGCAGGAATCGAGACTGAAAACACGTGGTGGTGCCTGCCAGTAAAAGGACAGCAGTAAAGAGAAGTCAATGTAGGTTCTTAAGCAGGAGAAGGGTATGATTAGATTGTTTTTTCTGTAAAATTGCTTTCAGGGCAACGTGGAGAATTACAAACCAGAGCAGAGAGGGCTGTGGAGTCGTTCAGGTGAAAGAGTAAAGATCTCAACTAATGGTAACAGGGATGGAAAAAAGGTGTTGGATTCAAGGATACATCTCGAGTCTTAAGGGTCTGATGAAAATTTGGATGTACTAGGTGGTAAGAAATGTCAAGAATGACCCTGGTGTTTCCAAAGTGGAAGACTGGGTGGGTATCAATGGATTTGCGATACTGACACAGAGTGGACGAAAGAACATCATACAGGCAAGAGCCTCGCGGGCCTGCAGCAGGAGATCAGGGTGGGGGAAGGGCTGTAGATCTAGAAACCATCAGCTTACAGGGCTGAGCTGCAACTCTGAAGACAGACCTGTCACTGACATTATGAGTACGGAAAGGAAAAAAGCAGAGCTTTCAGAAACAAACAGTGTTAGGTGACGGAAAAAGCGAAGTCTGGGAAAGAGACCACGATAGGGAGGCAGGTTGTCTAACTGTATAAAAACGTCCGCAGAAGAGCAGGAACTGAGTAAAGATGACACATTTATCCACAGAAAGTCCCCATATTTAATCTTACTTCCTCTGAAGCTCTGTGGGCAAAAGTATTTCATCACTTAAAGGTAAGAAGTCTTTCCTCCGGAAGCAAATTTCTCTCTAGCAAAATTAATGACAAACATCAGACATAAAAATATAAATAAAAGGAATCAAAAGACTGGTACGAACGCACAGATCTAGATAACTGCACGATAACACAGTTTATGTAAGAAAAGGGTGTGTGCTTTATACAGCACAAAAACCCTAAATAGTGGCCTAACATATTTCACGTACCTCTGAAAGAATTTATTTTTTGTAATTAAAGGCAAAAAAATTAAAGGATTTTTTTTTCATCCTTGAGGTTGTGGCATAATGCCACAGGAAATTATTTCTGGTTTAATTCACCAGTTGT